GGATTTGTCCCAGACCATTGCTGGGAGATCACAGGGTTTGATGGGCACCAAGCCAGGGGAGGCTGCTGTGTTGCCCTCTGCTTGGGGCTGGGGTTACTCTCACCCCAGGTATTTATAGGGTGATCTCCTCAATGAGGGAGTGGGCTGATCTCCTCAATGTGACGGAGAGATGGTGCTTTAGAAGAAGAAGATGACGGCTTACCTGGAGGTGATCAAGGGCAGGATCAGCATCTTCAACATCCTCATGAGGAGCTCTCCAGGAAAGGAAAAATACTGCTTCTCCTGCACATAGAGCAGAGCCATTGTGTCAGGTGAGAGCTGAGAAGTGGACACTGATTAATGGCTCAAACCTGATAAATTTGCCTTTTTCCCAACGGGACCCAGCTCTGAGCCTGGTTCTCAGCCGGCAGCCGTTCCTGTGGCACCCAGAGACATGGAGTCTCTGTCTGTCCCTTACTGAGAGCTGGGTCAGGGATGGGAGATGCTGGCCATGTGGGAGACCTGGCTGTGAACTGGAGAGGGGCGTGTGGGGCTGGGCCACTCCCAAAAACATCCTTGGGGCCTTAACCTCTAGGGAGCGGTCCCCATGGGCCCACCACTGGCTCCTCCCAAACATCATTTCACTTGTTACTGGGGAGCAGAGGCTCGTGCAAACGTGCCCCAAAGCTGTTGGGTGCAGCCTGGTGCTGAAGCAAAAAGTGGAAATACCTTGTGGCTGCAAATGGCAAAGCCCAGCTGAGGGAGAGCCTGGGTGTCCAGCCTCGCCGGGCACCGAGGGAGGTTTCCACCCCATGGCATCCGCCCACCCCCTACACTCCTCACGTGGGCATGGGGGAGGACTGCCTGGAGAGAGACCCCCTCCAAAGCCCTGGCATTTCACTTGTTACTGGGGAGCAGAGGCTCATGCAAACATGCCCCAAAGGTGTTGGGTGCAGCCTGGTGCTGGAGCAAAAAGTGGAAATACCTTGTGGCTGCAAATGGCAAAGCCCAGCTGAGGGAGAGCCTGGGTGTCCAGCCTCGCCGGGCACCGAGGGAGGTTTCCACCCCATGGCATCCGCCCACCCCCTACACTCCTCACGTGGGCATGGGGGAGGACTGCCTGGAGAGAGACCCCCTCCAAAGCCCTGGTCCCACCACCGTGACCAAGGGAAGAGTGATGGTCTGTGAGGTCAGCAGCCACTGGGCCAGCATCCCTCTCTCCCTCCAACTGTCCATCCCTCCCTCTGTCCACCCCTCACTCCATCAATCTGTCCATCCACCCTCCCTCCCTGCCCCCTAGTCTTTCCCTCTGCAACTGTAGAGGTGTCAGGGACAGATCTGAGATGGCCCCAAGCCAAGCAGGTACCTTTGGTCACTCCAAAGTACCCAACACCACCAGGCTTTGAGGGATGCTGAGGCAAACTATTAAAATAATTGCTCCCCACTGCTGTCCCTGCACTGACCCACGCGTGTGGCCTAAACTTGGCTGATTTCACCAGGGAGTTCACGTAGAGCGGAGCTGCCATGGGTCCAGCCAGGTGCAAGGAGTAACAACAGACTTGAACAGCATCTCTGGTGTCAGTGGGTTTCTCAGCTTTGTGCCACTGTCCCATCACGAGGAGGAAAGCAGGGACTGGCTGCTTCTCCAGCCCCTCATCTGCAGCATTGATTTGGGAACAAAAGTCTCTAACAGGGAGAAGTGGCTGCCAGGGACCACGTGCAGGGCTGTGGCAACAGAGCAGGATGGGCCCGGGGCAGAGGATGGATGAACTCGGTGCATGGCAGGACAAGGAGCAGGAGCCCCCAGGCTCTGCCGACCTCCAGGGAGGCTGCTGGGCACTCGAAAGGCGCAGGGAGATTACACCCGGCTTCAATTAAGTAACAAGATCATCCCCGCTGTGGACGGTGATGCTGAAGGGCATAATTGAAGTGACAAGACTTTGCTAAATCCTTGCGGTGACATGGGGATGTTCCAGCCCCAGCCGAGCTCTCCCTGAGGCAGCATCCCCCCTCCTGGGCTGAAGACCAGGGTGGAGCCACAGCTGAGATGCCCGATGTCACCAAAGCCACATGGATTTTAGTGCAGTGACATTTAGCAGCGCCACGCTCCTAGAAAGCGCTCAGTGAATGCACATTTGAGGTGCATTTTCTCCAATATGTTTGTCTCCAAGGGTTCCCAGAGGAAGGCGACCCCTGGGAGTCCCCCAGGCTCTCCACCAACCCCGGATTTATTTGCTGGGCTTTGTGCAGAGGGTGGGAGCACGCTTTGGTTGAGCGTCTGCGTCACCAAAGCCACGTGGATTTTAGTGCGGTGACATTTAGCAGCGCCACGCTCCTAGAAAGCGCTCAGTGAACGCACCTTTGAGGTGCATTTTCTCCAATACATTTGTCTCCAAGGGTTCCCCGAGGAAGGCGACCCCTGGGAGCCCCCCAGGCTCTCCACCAACCCCGGATTTATTTGCTGGGCTTTGTCCAGAGAGTGGGAGCACACTTTGGTTGAGCGTCTGTGCAGCTGGGGGGAGTAAAAGGAGGAGCTTGTCCCTCAGACCCCGACGCTGCTGCGTGTGTTACTGAGCACCCAGCAGTCGAGCACGTTACCCCCTGCCCATCCCCATCCCACCTCCAGGCTCCTGCAGCCCCACAGGATCCCTCCCAGAGCCCCCCCAAACTCCCAGTGGAGGGAGGCAGGATTTGTCCTGCAGCTTTAGCATTTGTTGGCATCTTTCTGGTCCAAAAAAAATAAAAAAAAAGAAAAAAGTCACAGGGAGAAACCTGCCCAGTGGGGTGGTTTTCTTGTGCAGAAGCCTTTGCCTTCAGGGCTGTGCCCATCTGGAAAGTCACAGGGAGAAACCTGCCCAGTGGGGTGGTTTTCTTGTGCAGAAGCCTTTGCCCTCAGGGCTGTGCCCATCTGGGGCCCTGGATTGTGATGTCTTGCCAGCACTGGGGCTGGTTGCCCTGACTGCCCTGCTCCATCCTCCCCGCTCCATCCCCCTCACTCCATCCTCCTCGCTCCATCATCCCTGGGGCCCTGGATTGTGATGTCTTGCCAGCACCGGGGCTGGTCACCCTGACTGCCCTGCTCCATCCTCCCTGCTCCATCCCCCTCACTCCATCCTCCCCACTCCATCCCCCTCGCTCCATCCCCCTCACTCCATCCTCCCTGCTCCATCCTCCCTGCTCCATCCTCCCCGCTCCATCCCCTTCGCTCCATCCCCCTCGCTCCATCCCCCTCACTCCATCCTCCCTGCTCCATCCTCCCTGCTCCATCCTCCCCGCTCCATCCTCCCTGCTCCATCCTCCCCACTCCATCCCCCTCGCTCCATCCTCCCCGCTCCCATCCTGCTCCTGTCCCAGGTCCCAGTCCTGGCCAGTCTTACCAGCTCAGTCAGCTCCAGCGCCCGCAGCAGGAACCCCAGGACGCACCCGGTGGCAACCGACAGCATCGACAGAGTCAGGAGGCCATTTTTAAACCAGAAAGCCCGCACCCACTTCCAAACACGCAGGAAGGCTGTGGACAGCGAGTTGAGCAGGGCTTTCCTGACCCGTTCCCACATGGTCGTCCTCAGCCGTCCAGGCGATGCCCCTCGGAGCAGCTCCCGGCCCCGTTCATCGCCCCGGGCACCACCGCGCCGACGGATCCCTGCCCGTTGCCGGGAGCCGAGCTGGCAGCTAATCCAGGCACCGAAGGCTTCGGGGCTCTTCGGGAGCTTTTCCCGTAATGGAAAGTGACGTCTTCAACCGGTTAATCCGGGTTTGGCATCCCGCCGGCGCTGTGCCGAACCCTCCCAGGTTAAACCCTCCGCCCCCAGGACCGGGGCTGGGAGCAGGGGTTCAGCCCCAGGACACCCTTCCCGTCACAGCTCCTGCTCCAAAGGGATCTGGGCCTGGGGGGCTGCCCCAGGATTTGTGCTCCCACTGCCTGCCAGCGCACCCCCTTCCTACCCCACATCTGTAAGGGCTCTGTGAGGGCAAAGCTTGCAAAGAAAGGCCTGTTTCCCAGTTCATGGCAGAAACTCCCATGGCGATCTGCCCGGGCCACCAGCCCGAGGCACCGCTGGATGATGCTCAAGGTACCCACGGGAACATCTGCCCCAACGGAGCCACCACCCTACCAGCTCTGAGGGGAACCTGCCCTGAGACCAGGGGATGCTGCTGGGATGCTTGGTCAATCACCAGTGCTGCCCACGGGATTTGAGAGTATTTCTATGCCCAGTTTGAGCCAGGAGCCCCACGGAGGCGGGAGAGCGGTGCAGAAGGCAGCTGAAGGACGGGGTGGGTGGGTTTAGTGCTGTTCCCAGGCTGAAGATGCTCTGGGAATGGGGAAATATTAAAACCTCTCAGAATTACAGAATCACAGAATATTCATGGTTGGAAGGGACCTTTGAGATCATTGAGTCCAACCACCCAAAAAAAAAAAACCAAACCCTAAACAAAAAACCGAAACCACACTCTCACCACACCCACCCTCAAACAGACACAACCCAACAACCCCGGGCTCTAGAGCATGCCCTGCAGAGCCACGTCTACACCTCCTTAAATACCTCCAGGGACGGTGACTCCACCACCTCCTTCAGCAGGCCCTTCCAGTGCCTGACCACCCTCTCAGGAAAGTCACTCTTCCTAATATCTAAGCTAAACCTCCCCTGCCCCAACTTCAGACCATTTCCTCTGCTCCTGGCATTATTCCCTTGGGAGAAGAGGCCAACCCCCGCCTCTCGACACCCTCCTTTCAGGGGGTTGTAGAGGGCAATGAGGTCTCCCCTCAGCCTCCTCTTCTCCAAACTAAACATGCCCAGTTCCCTCAGCCTCTCCTCGTAGGACTTGTTCTCCAAACCCCTCACCAGCTTGGTGGCTCTCCTCTGGACACACTCCAGCACTTCCATGTCCTTCCTGTAGCTGCTGGAGCCTGGCCCAGACTTTAACACTCCCACCCCCATCCCCAATAAGACCACGAAACCCTCAAACCATTGCCTTATTTTACACAGACAAAACAAAGGCACAGAGAAGGCTTGACTTGAGGATCTCTTTGAACCCCTTGAGGATCTCTTTGAACCCCTTGCCCCCGTGGGACAGGAATCCTGCTGCCCCGCAGCCTCGCTGCTCTTCCAGCAGGGACATGGTGGCTTTCGCAGGTTATCTCAGAGGAAGCAGAGCTCCTTCCAAAGCAGGAGCCTGGATATAGTGCTTTTCATGTTCCAGCCCTCGGGAAGGTCTCTGTTGGTGCTCTCTTGTGCACAGATCGCTCAACCTGCCAGGCAGAATTGGAAAAAATGTTTACTCATCAGCAACAACAACGGTTGTCTCTGTTCAGCTCCACCGTCAGAGATGTCCGTGAGCCAGAGATGGAGTTTGTGCTGGGATGAGCTTGGGAATGGACATCCCGTGTTGCCTGGGAGATCAGGGACATCTCAAAGGACGTTGAAGGGTTCCGGGGGCTGGCAGCAAGTGGAGGGAATAAGCTGAGAAGGGAAAGGGTGCTGGGAAATCCAAATAATGGGGAACAGAGGAACATGTGGGGAACCGAGGGAAAGGAAGGGATGTCCCAGAGAAAGGGAGAGGAGTCACAGAGAGGGAGAGGAGAGATGAAAGGTGAGGAAACAGCAAGGGGACATTAGGGGGGCCCGGTGCTGGTGTGGGGGTCGCTGCTGCCTGCCTGTGCCAGGGAACAGTGCCTGGCACTTGGCAAAGGGGCTTCAGCAGCAGTTCCCTCTGCACCTACCGCACATCTCAACGTCATCGTAGATGTCAGTGTCCCTGCGAGGAAGAAGATGGGGTGCTGTGAGCAGTCTCATCTCCCATGTCCCCACCACCTCTCGACGCTGAGGCAAGGGCCAGCTGCAGCCCCTGCCCCATCTCTCCCAACATGTCCACAGGCTCTGGTGGCCTCCACGCAGCCCCGTTCCCCTCCTCCCAGCCTCATGCTCTCCCCACAGAGACGGGATCCTCTGGCATGGGGTCACCATGGCTCTGGCCACCCTCACATTGTGCACAGATGGTGGCCCTGTCCCAGACTGCTGGGAGCCACACACCTGGCTGTGCAGAGGGGCAGCGCTGGCCTGTCACACTGTGCCACCAGCACCATCTGAACAGTGTCTGGGCAGGTCCCACATGAGGAACCACAGCTTGGGGAGGGCTCACAGTGCCCCAGGAAGCTTTTCCCAGTGCCAGAACCTCTCCTGACACCAGAAATGGCAGACTCCATCCCAGGGTAACCGGCCGGTGTTATGCTTATGATCACTGCCTGGTTTGGGAGGTTGTGAGTTGGCACTCAATGGCCAGGGCTGGTTTAGTGCCAGGCACTTGCTGGGTGATTGCTACAGCTCGTGGAGTGAGGAGGAAGGGAAGAAATACTCACAGGTGTAGCATCACGGCCCGGGGCACATAGCCATCTACAACAGAGAGAGGAAAAGCACATCAGGTTGTGTCGGGAGCTGGGGCACAGGCAGGGTCTCACCCCAGGACAGGCAGCGTGTAGAAACATCTCACACCCCCAGGGAGAGCTGGGGGCAACGAGGAGCCCAGCTCTGGGAAGCCAATCTGGATCCCTGGGAGGAACCTGCTCGGGGCAATGCTGGGAAGGAGCCTGCCTGTGGTGGGAAGAGCCTGATCCCCACCTCTCTGCTTGAAGGATCTGCTCCATTTCACCTGAGCAACCTTGGGTGCAAACATGGCTTGTGGAGTCTGGGCCTACGGCAAAGCCTGATGTGCCAGGCTGGTGGCCAAGAGGCTCTGGGAACTGTGAAGGCTTTTAGCAGAGGGAGCCAACAAGCCCAGCTAACGGCAGAGATGCTGGTGCCAAGCATGAGGAAGAGCAGGACATTTGTGCAAAGAGCAGTGGGAACATTTGAGACCCAGGGTAAACGTCAGATCTGTCTAATGGCAGTGAGGAGATGTCTCCTGGTGTCTACTGGGCTGTGTGAGCACAAATTTGTTCCCAAAGCTCTAAGTGCTGTGATCCCCCCTACGAGCAAAGCCTCAGCCCCCACAGACTTACACCTCCTCTGGCTGTTTCGGCAGAGGATCTGCTCCTGATTTGTAAACTGAATGACATCAAGAATTTCTCCTCGTCTCAGCGGCAGGTTCTTCCCTCCACCCCTCTTCTCCGTCGTTGCGGGGTCAACCATCATCTGGGTGAGGACATTGATGCTTCCTTCGAACTGAAACACAAAGAGCAGCGCTGCAGCTCGGCAGCAGCCCCAGGGGCCCGTGAGCTGGCTGGCTCTGACCGCTCTCCCCTCTTGGAAAAAGCAGGTCCCTCTCAAGCCAAATGGTCTGTGGGACTGGTCCGATCTGGGGACAGGACAGATGTGACCTGGGTATCGGCTGGTCACTGCAGAGCACAGCTCCTCTCTGCCATTGCATCGTGCCCTTCGCAGGAGGTCAGGGAGAGCTCAGAGGGATAAGCAATTGCTCGTTGCTGCTCACCTTGAATTTCTTCTGAAACTCTCTGTCTGCCTTCTCTTCCTTCTTGCATTCTTTGAGTGTCATTGGCTTTGTCTTCCGGGAGACCTGGGCTTCTCTGCAGAGTTGTTGAGATTCACAGGAAAGCTCGGGTGACCCCGTGCTCTGCTCCCTCCCTTCCCCTTCTCCCACCCCAGCTACTGCCCCATCGCATTTCCCTGCCCCAGCTCTCCCCGAGCCCGAAGGTGTCTCCCTCCAGGGCTCCTGGGGCTTCCAGGCCAGGTTTAAACCTTCCAATTGTGCTCTTCACCGTGGATATTTCTACTGCAAGCCCAGCAGAGACCATTAAACCACCAGCTTTGTCAAAGCAGCCAGAAGCCCTGGCCATTTTAGGACCCTTATAAAGAGTAAAAACCCCTGTTACCTCTGTGCAGCTGCCAGCAAAGCAACCCTGTTAGAGGCTCGATTGGCATCTTCACCTGCAAAACCAAACCCCAGGAGAGGTGTTGCTGTGAGGCTGCTGTAAGGTGTAGACACCCACTAAGACAGGTCATGAGACTGAAACAGCAGCAAGAGCTTTCTTCTCCTGGGACCAAACCCTGAGTTTTGCCCCTGAGTGCAGGGGGTCAGGGTTTCCCCTGCCTGTTTACAAGACAGCAGAGAAACCCATCACCCTCCCGTGCACGGGAGCAGCGGGCTCAGCGTGGGCTCTGCTGCTGCCCGTGGCTCATCAGGGCCTCGGGGCTCTCTGAGCTGCAGCGCTCACCCCCCCCAGCATCCCAGCTCCTCCTGCACCCACCTCCTCTGGGGCGAGGATACAGTGGCGGCCGGGACACGGGGGGCGGCAGGAAGCCTTGGCCTTTCCTGGGCATCCCAACAGGCTCTACATCATCGTATATCTCATCTTCATTCCTGTGACGAGGCAGACAGCTGTTAGGAGCCCTGATGCAGTGATGGCACTGGGGGGCCAAGAGCAGATTTGAGGCTGCCAGGAGAACGGTGGGCAACAGGCAGTTGGGCTGCCCATGGGTTGGCCCCAGGTCTGGGGCAGAGAGGGACAGCAGCTCTGAGGGTGCAAGAGATGGACAGTGGGGTGCAGAAGATGGGCACTGGGGTGCAGGAGACAGGTGGTAGGCCACAGGAGATGGGCAGTGGGGCACAGGAGATAGGCAGTGGGGTGCAGGAGATGGGCAGTGGGGTGCAGGAGATGGACAGTGGGGCGCAGGAGATGGGTGGTGGGGTGCAGGAGATGGGCAGTGGGGCGCAGGAGATGGGTGGTGGGGCACAGGAGATGGGCAGTGGGGTGCAGGAGATGGACAGTGGGGCGCAGGAGATGGGTGGTGGGGTGCAGGAGATGGGTGGTGGGGCGAAGGAGATGGGCAGTGGGGTGCAGGAGATGGGTGGTGGGGTGCAGGAGATAGGTGGTAGGCCACAGGAGATGGGCAGTGGGGCACAGGAAATCGACAGTGGGGTGCAGGAGATGGGCAGTAGGGTGCAGGAGATGGGTGGTGGGGTGCAGGAGGTGGGCAGTGGGGTGCGATGTCAGCAGCCAGACCTGTGCAGCCCATGAAGGACGGCACCCTGCAAGAACCCAAGGACCCCCTTGCTGTTCCCTCTCGTGCCCTTCCCGCTGGGTCGGGACAGCCTGGAAGCCACCTGGAATAAACGTGCTGGCTCTGTCCTTACCCTGTTACAGTAGGAGCATCCTGTGGTGGGAACCGCGCTGGCGCTGATGCAACGTTGCCTGGTTTCAGGTGACCTACAGTAAAAAGGGGAATGGGAGGGAGCAGAGAGGGACTATTTCACATTTTCTCCTTGGCTCTATCACCCACACAGAGGGTCAGAGCTGCCCTGGGCTAGATTAAGTGCAGAGGGCTGCAGGGAGATAAAATTGACTGCATATCTGGATCCAGAGAGGCATTTTTACTCCATGGCCCATCTGCGGATTTTCTTTCCTCCCAGCACACTGGTGCACACCTCATTAGAGAACTCACTAGGCAGCTTTTATTTTCATAGACTCATAGAATTGCCCAGGTTGGAAGGGACATTTAAGATCATCCAGTCCAACCATCAATGTAACTCTGACAAAAACAAAAAAACACATCACCAAACCATGTCTCGAAGCACTATGTCAACCCGGCCTTTAAATCCGTCCAGGGATGGTGCCTCAACCATTCCCTGGGCAGCCCGTTCCAAGGCTTAATAACCCTTTCAGTGGAAAAATTGTTCCTAATCTCCAACCTGAACCTCCCCTGGCATAACTTGAGGCCATTTCCTCTTCTCCCATCGCCTGTTCCTTGGGAGCAGAGACCGACCCCCCCTGGCTACCTTTCAGGGAGTTGGAGAGAGCGAGAAGGTCTCCCCTCAGCCTCCTCTTCTCCAGGCTCAACACCCCCAGCTCCCTCAGCCTTTCCTCACAAGACTTGTGCTCCAGACCCCTCACCAGCTCCATTGCCCTTCTCTGGACACGCTCCAGCCCCTCAATAGCTTTTTTGTGGTGAGGGGCCCAAAACTGGACACAGTACTCAAGGTGAGGCCTCACCAGTGCCCCGTCCAGGGGGACGATCACCTCCCGAGTCCTCCACCCTACGCTGTTCCTGACACAGGCCAGGATGCTGGTGGCCACCTTGGCCACCTGGGCACACTGCTGGCTCACGTTCAGCCGACAGTTGACCAACACCCCCAGGTCCTTTTCCACCAGGCAGCTCCAGCCACTCTGCCCCAGCCTGGAGCGTCCATGGGGTTGGTGTGACCCAAGGGCAGGACCCGGCCCTTGCCCTTGTTGAACCTCATCCCCTTGGCCTGGGCCCATCCATCCATTCAGTCCAGATCCCTCTGCAAAGCCCTTCTACCCTCCAGCAGGCCAACCCTCCCACCCAACTTGGTGTCATCTGCAAACTTACTGAGGGTGCACTCAATCCCCTCATCCAGATTTTTAATGAAGATGTTAAAAAGATCAGGCCCCAGTACCGAGCCCTGGGGGACACCACTCGTGTCCGGCCACCAACTGGATTTAACTCCATTCCCCACCACTCTCTGGGACCAGCCTCCAGGCAGTTTTTAACTGATCAGAGAGTACTCCCATGCAAGCCATGGGCAGCCAGTTTCTCCAGGAGGATACTGTGGGAGACTCTATCCAAGGCCTTACTTTTTTCCCATTCTTATGTCCCTAATGATACTTTCCCCCTGGACCAGTGACAAAAGGGAAGGGGTAAAGGCCAAAATGGGCATTTTGAATGTGGTTAAACCCCTAAACTGCAGATTTGTACCACAGTCAGGGCAAGTCCTACATATCTCCATCTTCTCAGAGGCGTCATCACCCAGAACATGCTGCTGCACTTTGTACGATGGCCAGCACACCTACATTCCTGCTAAGATCCCATTGTTTTTATCGCCAACCTGGTCAGCCAGACCAACCAACAACTGCCACAAAGATCTGCAGTACATCATCATTCTGCTGGGTTACTGTACCAAGTAATGCGCAATCATATACCAGGCCCTAAAAATCGTAAGATTGCCCTAAAAATTAACAAAAAACCCAAACTGGGGCAGGGGTGTAATTCTAGATATTCAAACTTGCTTCAGTACCCACGAGACAAATAAATGCTTGAAAACTGCTAGTTTGTAGGACCCTCCCCCCCTCTGCCAGGGTTGCCCAGCCCAGGGACAGGGCTGGGCTTGGTGGGTGAGCACCTCCCAACACAAAGGCACAGTCAAGCTGAGAGAGGCCTCCAAGCACCAATGCAATAATGATGTCTTATAACAACAACAATAACCAGTTAGCTTTTGCAGTTCTTATAAGGAAAGAAGTTCTACTGTCATGGTTGCCCTCTACGCCATGGCTATGGCATGAGTAATAAGAAACCATCCTTTAAAGGGGGTGGTGAACAAGAACTTAGAGAAGTTGAGAAAGAAACAGGATTTGAAACAAGTTTCATCACCTACAGTGTGGATTAGCAGAGGGGCAGCTGTTAAAATCCAACACTTCTGCCTAGATCTGGAAGGCCACTGTGGAGCCTGGCAGAGCTCATGTCAAATGGAGAACCATGTCCAAGATGCACCAAGTGCTGTGTCCCACAGACAGCTGGTAAGGAGGGCACGCCAAGACAGCACCATGACCCCAGCAGCCATAGCTCCAGTTGTGCCTGGGGAGTCTTGGCAGCGCCCTCAGGCTTGGAAGAGGATGGTGTTTCAGGCAATGTGCTGCCAGCTTCAGAGAGCCTCTGTCCCTTGGCCAAAGAGCGTGTGAGTGCATCTCGCCCATGGGATGGAGACCAGCACTGTTTGTCACCAGCCAGGCTTGTCTGCTCTTACAGCCACACAGGGGTGAATTGGTTGGAAAGGACCTCTGGAGTGTCATCCAACCTCCTGCTCAGAGCAGAGATGTCCTTAGAGCTAAAGCAGGTTGTTGAGAACCTCATCCAGGTGGCAACTGAATATCTCCACGGATGGAGATACCCACCTCCCCGATGCTTGCCGCAGGGCTGCACCACTCCCACAGGAAAGAGGCTTCTCCTAATATCTGACTGGAATTTCCCCTACTGCAGCTCATGCCTGTTGCCTCCGGTCCTGCTCTTGGGCACTTTGGGAAGGGCCTTGCTCTATCATCTCCTCCCGTTGGGTAGCTGTGGGCACTGAGATGACCTTCCCTTCACTTGCTCTCCTCCCAGCCAAACAAGCCTGGGTCTTAGCTTCTCTTTTCCCACATGCTCCAGCTGCCAAACATCTTAGTGCCCTGCACTGGGCTGACTCCAGTTTGTCAGCATCCCTCATGTCACTTACTCCAACCCTACTCCCTACACCCACCCCAGAGCCTGATACCTCTCCCCAGCCAGGGACAGGGCACTTAGTCCCCATTGTTTCTTCACCAGGTGTCCTTCTCTCTCATTCCTTTCTGCATGGTATGGCTAGAAAAGTTCCCTTGGCATTGCAAGCCCCCACCTCTCCCTCAGCCCCCCCAGTATTTACATCTCCCAGAAGCTCCAGACTGTGACTGGGGACATTTTCCTTTCTGAATGAGCTGCATCCTTCTTTGGGGGACTTGTAGGTGCCTGGTCATACCCGGCTGAGTGCTCCTTAGCGGCTCCATGGCAGGGCGGACGGGTGTTGCAGGATGTGCAGCCATGCCAAACTTCTCCAGATCCACGACAGGAGGGCGCCTGGGCTTGGCCGGCCTCGCTCCCAGCACCTTCACGTGTGGCAAAGGCTTCCTCCGAGGCACAACTGGGTGCCCCGTCCCATGGGGCCTTCCCGCAGCCTCCAGGGAGGCTGCAACAGCCGGGCCTTTGGCAGGAACAGGTGGAGAACCCTTGTCTCTGGCAAGTGGCCATGTCTGCTGGGTTGGGTTTCTCTGGGGGGGATCGGAGGCAGCTTCCACTTCCTTGTTCAATGTGTCTCCTCCTTCTGGCTTTGCAGGGGCTGAGGGGAAGCCGGCATCTTGAGTGGTCCCCTTCTTCAGTCGCACCATCCATCCTGGGGTCTCACTGATGGGCTTAGGCGGCGAATGCTGTCCCACACTCTGACCTTCACCGTGAGTCGGAGAAGCCCTGCTGAAGTCCACCCTCCTGGTCCGGGGGGGCTCAGGAGGTGGCTTTCCCTTGGAGCCCCACGCAGGGGTCTGTCCCGGCTCCGTTGCAGGGGATGCTGCAGAGCGACTCTCCAACCAGCCACCTGCTTCGGGAGGGTCTTTCCTATTCCCTTGCAGCTTTGCCCGTAGGTGCCTCACCAGGGCCTCTTTCCCCTCCAGATGTGTCTGCAACCATTAAGAAAAGCTCCAGTTAAAACACCATGGAGGAACATTAGTCAAAGAGCCTTGGAGAATTTGGGGAAATGGTGTATTTCTTCAGCATGGCCTGACACTAAACCTCCTCCATGAAATGTGGTCCTGGAGCGTGCCTGAGAAAACAACACTGGGCTGCATCACATCAGGAACAGGTCCCACCACCATGGGGACATCCAAGAGGCATTTCATGGAGTCTTTTGGTCTAATCCAGCCTCACCCATTACCAAGGACCATCAAAACAGAAGGATGGGATGGGGGCTTATACCCTACTAGTAGCAAAGCTCCTGAGGGCAGAATTTGAGATCTAGAGATTGCCCAGGGTTCAGATGGGAGCAACCTGCCTTGCCCTGGTTCTGGTTCCCATGAAATCCATAATGAATCCAGAGCCATCAGCATCCCCCCCGGAGGAAAACCCAGGATCGTGCTGCTGAAACTCATCCTGCCAAAGCCTGCGTGCAAATAAAAAGGCTAGAGGCAGCAGATCTGCCCTACTTTTCTGACCAGTGTGTTTCCTGTTCTGCTCACACCAGGCACATGTGAACTGGGACACGGCCCTGGCTTCCTGAATAACCAAAAAGCACCTTTTTCTGAAGCCTCCAGAGAAAGGCTGCCAGGAGGAGTCTGGATGACTTTCAGAAGAGAGTGGCAGGTTTGGGGAACAGCACAAAACTCAGGTGGGATGGGGTTACATTTTTCCTAAGCTTCTCAGATGGACCATACGAGAGGGGAGGGATCATCTTGCCCTGCCCCATCTTTCTACCACCCCCCTGTCCCTGGACCACAGTGCACCAGAGCTGCACTTGCCCTTAGTAAGCCACAGGCTTTGATTCTGAAGTTCTCCTCCATCTGGGATTTCACTTTGGGTTTGTGCTTGCGTAATTTTTTTCTTTCACAACAGAAGGGCTAGTGTGCAAAGAAGCTAGCACAATATTTTTAGACGTAAGTGCTCAAATGTATATGTACCTAAAGAAGTGCAAGCTCCCCTCGCATCCCCGGGCAGCAACCCAAATTTCCCTGGTAAACGCTGCAAACACAGCACTCTGAGTGCAGCCTGCGGTAAAGCACTGCGAATTCACTATTTCCTTCACACAAGGCAGTGGAGCTTTCACCCAAACTAGTGAAAAAAAGCAACTTTTTTCAGATTCCCAAAGATGCCGCCAGGTTTTTTGGCACCTGAGTGATTCAGAGGTTTGTAATCATCAGTTTTGGAGCTGTTCCATGAGCTTGGACTTGCCCACAGCCCCCGGGTGTACCTGTGGGGTACAGCACCACTGGCACCACAATCAATTCCAGCTTTTTCAATACATTTTGCACTGGTGGGTGCTCTCCTGGACTCAGTGGCAGAGTATGGCCTCCTCCTCTTTCACAGATCTTATATCTAGCCCAATGTCACCCAGCAAATATTGCACTGAGCCCAGGAACTGGTCTGAGACCTTTGAAGCTCCAACCAGCTCAGATGTACAGGAGGACTTTGTCTTCCAGGAGGAGCGAGGGTCTCAGCAGGATGCAGCCCCTCGCAAGGACACCGTCAAAGCCTTTCCAAGCAGGAGACATGGCTCCACTCCCCACACCCCGTCCCCAGATCCAGTGCAGCCCAGTTCTTACTCACCATTTTCCATTAGCGGACGCTTTCCTGCATGCTCATCTCCTTTCCAAAGGCCACCGGAGGCATCCAAGCAGAAGGACTTGTGCAAGGCAAGTGTCTCTGAAGTCCCCTTCCCCTGAAACCAGAAGCTCTTTCCTAACGGTTGGCGAGAAACTGTGTGCAACCCCAGGAAGTCGCTGTAGCCTGACTGTGAAACAGCCCGAGGAGGAGGAGGAACAGAAAGAGGAGGAGGAGCAGCTCTTGGTGCACTGTTAGCTTGGATTCGGCTGCTGTTGGGAAGCTTGAAGCCCACAAAGCCCTGCTGCCCATAAGAGTCCCACCCAGAGAAAAGCCTGGGGTTCAGGGAGTGACTCTGGGATGTGAGGAACCGGCTGCCACGATGACCAGGAGGGTGGGTTCCGTTCTCATCTGATTGTGGCCAACGTGAACCCACTGAAGGTCAGGTCTTCAGAGCCCCACAGAGGGCTGGAGGTGACTCGCAAGAGTTGCATGGCAAGACCAGCATGGCCCTGCTTGACCGAACTCTGCAGAAATGAGGGCTACGGCTTCCATCGTAGCCAAACCAGGGGACATCTGCTCCACTGAGGAGCCGAGCTCTGCTGGGAAGCAGGGGAAGTGCTCTGCACAGCATGGTGCCGCATTGGGCCATCTCTGTGTTGAAATGTCCTGGTTTCACCATTTATTTCCTCAGAGGCAAGAAATGTCTGAGAGGTTGAGTCAAGCCCTGCGGCAGGGACGCTCTGGCTGGCTGTGAGCAGGCACTGATGTCCCTGCCCCAAGGTGGCCTCCAGCCCTTCGGGAAGATGTCCCTCCAGCAGTGCCTGCGGTGGATCCTGCCCTTGGGTGGTTTTAGGGATAAGACAGTGTGTGGAGGAGGTGGGGAAGGCTGGGGCGGGCACACCTTGGCCACGGTGGTGGTCCCTGGGGGTCCTGTGGAGGGTGGCGGGTGCCCAGCGCTGACACTGGAGGGTTTGACGGAGAGTTGGAGCAGAGGTGGGATGGAGATGGGGGTGTCTGGAGGTCCCACAGTGACCCACAGGGACCTGGTATGGGGACACAGGGGTGGTGGTGACCAGAGAGGTGGGTCCCCATCGCTGCCTGCCCCACTGCTCCAGCGCCACTGCCAGGGCCCTGTTTGGGGGCGAGGGAGGCCAAAGGGGGACAAGGGGTGACGGGGAGGCCCCAACAGCCATCTTGAAGGAGCACAGGGACGATGGGGGCCCTCAAGGACCGTGTTGGGGGTGCTGAGCCCCCCGGACCCGGGGCGGCACGGCTCCCGGCCACACCGCTGCGGCGGCTGCGGGCCCCGCCGGGCTGAGACTCCACCGCTCCCCGGG